AATCTTGTACATACAGTAATGACCTCATCGATCCAATTAAACATCATATGACATCTGATAATCCACTCAACATACACCTTTTGACATAACCCTTTCAACATAACCCACTCTTAATGGAGAACATGTTCTTAGCCATTCCTTCTTTGTTCTTATCTGATGAAGCCTAAGGCTAGGGAGGAACAAGGTAGATTGAATACCTGCCCTTGCTGACCTTGCCATTTGGAGGCTGTCCCTTCGGATCTTTAAGCAAGGCATAAAGAAACTTTTTGGGCATACAGGAATTTGTGTGCAAATCTCTGCTCCCATGTAGTCAGGGGAGTTTTGCTGGAACCTTTTATAAGGAATTCTCAGGCTGGACTTCTCAAAAGGCATTCATGAGCCCAAGTTCAAAAGAGCTTTTTCATTGGCCTTATAAAGTCAACCTTAATTCCTTAACACAGTCTGGAGATGCTATTCCAGCCAAAGCCTTGGTCATGTTAGGCTCACAACCAACCTGGCCACATGGGATTCTGCCTCAGTTTCTTACAAGTATGCCTGTACAAAGTCTTTTCGCTGCTCTCTCTCAAACGGCTTTTTTGGCCAGAGGCGTTAAAACTCAGTGAACTGCATACTTAAAATGGGTACATTTTACTTTATATAAATATTTTTAGAAAGCCAATTTTAAAAAACAAACCAGTGCCTAAGCCTGACTGACTCTGATGCAAGATGGGAAACTGGCAGGAAAAGTGAAAGAAGAGGAGAGGGGAATGTTTCTTAAATACATCTCTTTTTAAATTTTAAATAATCATGAGCAGTTTTTACCAGGCTCTCTTTGCTCAAACAAAATATCACCTATTTACCATTATGACAAGTAATGAAGCAAAAAAAAAAAAAAAAAAAAAAAGGATGGCTGGGATATATCTGGATAGACGACATGGAGGAACAAAACCTGGATAGATATTACCACATACACAGTATTAAAATTATCATCATTATGACCAAGTTCAGCCATCACATGAGAAATCTCAAAACAACCCTGGTGAGTAAACATTACCATTTTCTCCTATTTTACAACAGAGAAAACAGGCTCACAGAAGATTATGTGCCAAAGTTTACAAAACTAGTATTCTTTACAGTTAGCAGTTTGGGGAAAGGCTGATTCAGTCCAGTAACAGGTGTGTCTAACACAGGGGGCGTAGAAGCTTGGTGATCACTTTATGGGTTACTCTGACGTGTGCTCTAGCTCACTTAGTAAATAAAATATTGAAGCTGCTAAATTAAACCCACATTTACCTGGTACTCAATCAAAATCTACTGAATAGGCAAAAGAAGTTTCCAATTAGATTTTATTTTAGTTTTTCTTCAGAAATAATTAACATTATTCCCCCATCTAGTGGTCAAGAAGAAAAGTGTTTGATGAGATGGCTAAAATCACAGAACCACCGTCTGACCTTCATTTTCCAATTGCTACTTCACAGCCAATAGAAACCAAAGTAGCACCCTTTTCCTCTGGAAGCCTTGCTCTGATAAACTTTCTCCCAGAAAGCTGACTGACTCCAGCACTTCCTACTACAAACCTGCTAGGTCTACTAGGGTCCTCAGACTCCCTTTCTACTCTTAAGATAATCCCTGAATTTCACCTGGACCAATCGTGCAGCTTTTCCTACTCTACTGCCAAACTGCCCAATGTTACCACCTTATTCCCTACACTTGGTCAATAAGATAGTTCAGCAAAACTGCACTAATTTCCTATGCAGATGGCATTGTGCTAGGCACTAAGGGGAAATAAAGTGACCAACATCTTTTTCAAAGTCCCAGACCACACACACATAATCTCAGCATGTACTTCCCTTTGGCACAAGGAAGAACACAATAGGGGAGAATGAGCCCTGCGAGCACAGGGGCAGCAGATAAATCTAAACTGGAGTGTGAGCCTGGAGCATCTGCTGTGGTCCAGCACTAGAACCCTCACTGAGAAGACAGGTTTAGGCACTGCTGGAGGAAACAGTCCCCAGTGTTAGGGTAATTTGCCTAGGCCTAGGCAGCTGCAGCCATCTGGCTCCAGAGCCTGTATCTTCACAATACACTGTACTACTTTCTTGGAAAGCCATCAGAGAGAAGACTGAAACCAGGCCTTCAGGAGAAGAGAGTTTAGTAACTGTACACAAGGGAAGGGGATTGGAGGGAAGCACAACAGCAAATAACAAACGAGGGCACTCAGAGGAGTGATTTGTCCACCGCTACAAATCATTCTGAAGTCCACCAGCTCACACTCTTTCTTGCTTACGCACATATTACAAGCCAACTGCTCTCTTACTTTCTATAAATCAAATCAACTCAGGTCCAGGCTGCCTTTCCCAGGAGGGGCTACATAATTATGTTCAGCCCTGTTAATGGATCTTCAAGCTACAAACAATATGCAGGGGAGATATGAAACCTCTCCAATGAGTTCCCAGACTGGATAGTTTTCTTTCTTTCTTTCTTTCTTTTTTTTTTTTTTATTAAATCATAGCTGTGTACATTAACGCAATTATGGGGTACAATGTGCTGGTTTTATATACAACTTGAAATAATTTCATCAAACTGGTTAACAAAGCCTTCACCTCATTTTCTTAGTTACTGCGTTAAGACATTTATATTCTACACTTAGTAGATTTAACATGAGACTGGGTAGTTTTAAGTCAACATTTGCTAAATTTCCTCGTTAGCAACTATACAGTATATCTCTCCAAAACTGAGCTAAAATCTGTAGGTTTCTCCACAATACAGAGGCATGACTGATTAAGTCACAGGTTATCAGTGATCAGCTCAATCTCTGGCTTCTCTCCCCTTCCTAGGGAGTCAGCAGGTGGTGCTAGACGTTGCAGGCCTCTAATGGAGCCTGGGGCTTTCTGGTCACTAGCTTCCACTCTGAAGTTACACAGAATGGCCTCATTAGGACAAAAAGGAAATTCTAAGGGACTTAGGAGTTGTGTGTCAGGGTCCAAACATGCATGTATCCGTATACACACATACGTGAAAGTGTGATGAGGAACAGTTATTTACATAGTCTGAAAGAACCTTCCTGCAAGCAAAGGAACTGAAAAGGAAGCATGTTCACTTCATAGTAAAAGCCCAGCCGGGGCCATCTTGACCAAGGGATCAAAGTGCACGTCATCAGCCAGCACCCCAAGGTCACGCATTGCCTGAGGATGCAGTAAAAACCCACCACCTCTTCCAGGCATTCCTGTAAAATAGGTAGAACTCTTAAGTTCACCAGGAAATGTTGGGTAGGACTAGAGTAAGGGACATTCACCAGTTACTGACTGGTGAGTTTCACAGTATCCAAGTCACAGAAGCCAAAGACAGACCTAGGAATGGCGTCAGAGTGAGAAAAACTGCATTACTGAAACTGCTGGTGAGATGGGAATTGAGTCGAGGATTCCTTGGTAGGAAGGTATCCATGCTAAGTCCCTAATGTTGACAACTGTGTTGTGGTTATGAAGGAAAATGTCCTTGTTTGCAGGAAACACTAAATGCAGGGGTGATGAGCTTTAGTCTGCAGCCTACTCTAAGATGGGTGAGAGTTGACTGTGAGTTGTTTCCAACTTAGCTGTTAGTTTGTGAATGTCGAAAAAGTTTAACTTTACAATATAAACCTTCTTCATTAACTAAAATCTCTTTTATAAAGAGGACTTAGAGGTGAGATCCAAGTTGACTTTTGTTTTTCAGGTTTATTACTTCAAGATAAAAAAATTCTGTCCATAGGAAATGTCAGAATTTTAATCAGGCTGCTCTTACAACAACATAGGATTCTAGTGACACCTAGTGACCTCACATGTTAATGCTCATGTTTTCAGTGGAAAATACTTAACAATAGCCCTGGACAAGCAGACACTTGATGTATAAAATGAAGGTCAGTTTGACTCTCACCTCTTCTACTGAAGAAAGTTCATTTTCATGAAAAATGAGGAAAATGTAAATGATAACTTTTATTTTGCACCTAATGTTTGTAAAGACTAAAAAGATAACTCATAATTATGAGTAAAGGTACTAGAATATAGATGCTCTTTTATACTGCTAGAAGAATGGACCTCGTACATGTGTTCTATAAGGTAATTTGGCCAAATCTATCATAAATTTAAATATGCAAACCCTCTGAACTCAAAAGTCCACTTTAGGAATTTAAACCTATGGAAAGATTTATCATCTGGAAAAAAGTAATGCATAGAGAAGCTCAATGTCATACAGCTACTGATTGAGCAAAAAGAAAAAAGAAATAAAAAACTTAATATTTATCAACAGAAGATTGGTATATATGTGAAGTCTTTTTTTTTTT